TGTGTGTGTGTGTGTGTGTGTGTGTTTGGAAGGAAGGGAGAGAGGGAAAGTGAGGAAGGAAGGAATAAAAATAAGAAAGAAAGAAGAAACATGATATAAAAATTGAACATTAGTAAAACATGGACTGTAATATTAATGTATGAATATTGGTCTATTAATTGTAACAAATGAACATATTTTTATATGAGTTAATAAAAGGGACATTGAATATAGTGCATATGGGAATGCTCCATAACATCTTTATAATTTTTTGGTAAACTTGAAAATGTTCTATAATAAAAAGTTTATTTGGAAAAAAAGAGTAATATTTGAACATCTTGAAATGGACTGAATTATGCCTTACCTCACCCTACTTCTAATTTCTATGTTGAATCCCTCAGCCCAAGGTAACTACATTTAAAGAGAGGGCCTTTATAAAGGTAAAGGAGGTTGAAAGAGGTCATAAGTGTGGGCCCTGAGCCAATAGGAATGGGATCCTTAGAAGAAGGTGAAGAGACACCAAGCCTACACAGAGTAAAGGTCATGCCAACACAGGGAAGAAATGGCTGCCTACAAGACAGGAAGAGTGGCCTCATTAGAAAAGTCATCTTCCATTACTTTTATCTGGGGTGTCTCACCTCCAAAACTGTGAAACCATATATTTCTGGTGTTTCAACTACCAGTCTCCAGCATTTTCTTGTGGCAACCAAGCAGAATAGTAAATAATCATCAACAGTGATGTTGACTTCTGTGTAAAAATGCCCAGGTATGTTTAGGGAGGACCTAAAAAAAATATTTATTATCTTGAATATACTCTGAATATATTAATAAATATGTTATTTAATTTAAAACCACAATAAAATTAGTATGCATGTTCTTATTATCAGGTAACTAAATATAAAGATGAACAAATTTACTATTTGTTGAAAAAAAAAAAACTCTGCTTAGGCAAGAAAAAAGTGGAACTCTAACACACTGACAATGTAATACTTGTATGATTTTTCACATGGTTATAGGGTTAGATTTAAAGTAGTGCTTCATTCAAATAATAATTTTCAAAAATACAGTGGTGATAGTAAAAAAGTAAGCTAATCTTCATTAACCCTTATAATCCACTTAACTTAGACCTTAAACAATTAGCACATTTATGATTTAACTATGTTTTGATGTGAGGAGTATCTCCTTGTGCCTTTATATATGGGCCTCCTCTTCCTCTCAATGCTTTGGTCTAAATTAATATAGTCTATAAATAGGATTTCTCACCACCACTCTACCATCATCATTATGTAATTTACTTACATTTCTCACAAGAAGTCACAACCTAACTAAAGCAATAAACAGAATTGTAAATTTCTACTGAAGTAACTCAGCTTTGTTATGAAAAAATTTAAATAGTGATGCTGAGGGGTATAGTACCTATCCTTCTCAGAAAAATCATTAAGTATCTATCCTCATTTTTAGTCTTAATTCAACAGAATCATTGAAGTAATTTTCCATTTTATTTTTGTGAATGTATTTTAGAAAGTATTTCCACCCACCCTAGAATCAACATTATATGGAGGGTTTGCAAATCATAATTTTAATTATGGCTGTTCTCAAAGAATAGTGAAATTACATAAAAAGTTCATTTGACTAGAAATAATAGAAACCAATTAATTCATTGGACTCTGCTCATAAAAGGCATGATTCTTAATAACTTTAGTTAATATCAAAGCCCTCTCTTATTAGCCATAATTGGCAGTAATTGGGGTTTGGAGTACTTAACTTATTTTTTAAAAATGTACATTTCTGAAAAAGAAGTTGATGACAGTTTACCATTTTTGCCTTGGAGACTACATTCCTGAACTAGAATATAAGTTCTTTGATATCAGAGAACTTTTTTTATTCACTATTGTATCTCTTACTCTACAAAAGCAGGGCCATATAATAGGCAGTCAATAAATACTTGCTGAAATTAATGGAAATATTATGGCCTTAACAAAAAAATATAGATTGAGAATTTGCTATTTTGGAAGTTAAGGTCATTATACAACCTATGTGAAGTGCATCATAACAAGGTTTGAAAATAATAAATTCTATAGTACAGACAATGAGAGACTTTTTTCAAAGATATTCATGTAAATTTTCATTATTTTCATTGAAATTGATATAAGAAGTTATTTCTATCACAATATTCATTAATAGGTTAGTGAACTGTAAAGGCCTATATAGTCAGCTCACAAGTAAAAATCCCTAATGTTACCAGAGCTCAAAAAGTACCTCTCATGTTTCTTTCCGATCACAACATCTGCTCTCAATGATAACTGCTATTCTGATTTCTAACCTCAATTGCTCTTTTGGTTTATTATATAGTTGAAACCACAGAGTATGTATTCTTTTGCTCAACTTTATATTCACAAGAATTGTTCCATTGTGGAATACCACAATTTCTTTTTATGTTCTGCTACTTATACATACTTTACTGGGTTCCAATTTGTGTTGCTTACAAATATTGCCCATGTGAAAAGTGTGTATCTTCTTTGAACCCATCTATGCATTTATGTCCCGTATATGCCTGACAGTAGAATTTCTACTGTTTCTTTAGTGTGCCAAGTAGTTTACCTTTGATAGGTTCTGCCAAAGAGTTTTTCAATGTGGATATGGCCATTTCTACTTTATCTAGCATTGTAAGAATTTGGACTTTCTTCTTTAGAATACTTGTTTTTATTTGTTTAATTTCCATCTTTTCATTTTATGAAGTCTACTAGGCATCAATCCTGATTTGAATATGTCCCTGTAAAATTCAAGTGTTAAAATCTAATGGCCAATTAAAGGTAAGGCTTTTCCCCTCATGAATAAGAGTAAGAACTTTATTTTTAAAAAAATCAAATTCAGTATTCAGCCATTTTGCCCCTTTGCCTCTAGTCATATGAAGAGACTCATCATCTCTGTCCTCCAGTGGATGGAGTATATAAGGTATCATCTGGGAACTAGAGATTAGACCCTCAACAAGATAACCAACATGATGGCACCTTGATCATGTATTTCCCAGCCTCTAGAATCATGCTAAATATATTTCTGTTCTTTAAAAACTACTCTGTCTCGAGTATTTTATCATAACATCAAAAAATAGACTAAGACATTGTACACACACACACACACACACACACACACAAATGAAGATGGCCTTGGTTTCATATATTGATTGGCCATTTCTGTTTCATATGTTTCATGTGAGGTGACTATTCAAGTGTTTTGTTCATTATTTTACTGAATTTTCAATATTCAGAATCCTAGAATGTTTTATCATGGCTTTCTTAATATATACTTGAAACACATTAAAATATAAATTGTATGAGACCATCTGTTTTCTGATGTAACTCTGGCTGCAAATCAGTAATCCAGTTATTGAGTTTTCAGTAAACAGTGAATTAATTCCTCTAAAAATCTTTTCTCATATTAAGCCATATACAGCAACAAAGAAATGTATCAAGCTATATATTTCTACATTTTTTAGTTGTAATTGGACACAATACCTTTATTTTATTTTTGTGTGGTGCTGAGGATCTAACCCAGTGCCTCACACATGCTAGCCCAGTACTCTATCACTGAGCCATAACTCCAGCCTCTCAAGCTATAATTTTAACATAGAGATCTGTCTTAAAGGTTTTGTTTTTTTTATAGGGTGGCTTTTTCCAAACTCAATTGATCATCCAGGAGTTGGAACACGTTTGTGGTAAGTATATTATTTAATTGTTTTCTATCCACATAAGAAACCTTTGAAGTTACATTTATATTTCCCATCATGAAGCCTGACTGTATAATTTTCATCCTCTTTAGGAAAACCCCTTTGTCTGCAACTTGTAGATAATTGTCATATTCAATCACAGTATTAATCTCAACAGTATTCTCCCTCCAGCTCTAACTTCCTTTCTAGTACAAGACATAGAAAAGAAAACACAGCTCCTTTCAGTTCAACACATCGGAGGAGGCTAAAAATCTAATTTCCTGATTCCCAGTTCAGTTTTCTCTCTATTAGAAACATAATACCTGCTGCCATATCGATGTTCATAGCAGCACAATTCACAATAGCTAGACTGTGGAACCAACCCAGATGCCCTTCAATAGATGAATGGATAGAAAAAATGTGGCATCTATACACAATGGAGTACTATGCAGCAATAAAAAATGACAAAATCATAGAATTTGCAGGGAAATGGATGGCACTAGAGCAGATTATGCTTAGTGAAGCTAGTCAATCCCTAAAAAACAAATACCAAATGTCTTCTTGGATATAATGAGAGCAACTATGAACAGAACAGGGAGGAAGAGCAGGAAGAAAAGACTAACATTAAACAGAGACATGAGATGGGAGGGGAAAGGGAGAGAAAAGGGAAATTGCATGGAAATGAAGGGAGACCCTCATTGCTATACAAAATTATATATAATTGGTTGTGAGGGGAATGGGAAAATAAATAAGGAGAGTAATGAATTACAGTAGATGAGGTAGAGAGAGAAGATGGGAGAAGAGGGGAGGGGGGATAGTAAGGGATAGGAAAGGTATCAGAATACAACAATTTCTAATTGGGCATTATGTAAAATTGTGGATGTGTAACCGACGTGATTCTGCAATCTGCATTTGGGGTAAAATTGGGAGTTCATAACCCACTTCAATCTAATGTATGAAATATGATATGTCAAGAGCTTTGTAATGTTGTGAACAACCAATAAAAAAATTTAAAAAAAAAGAAAAGAAAAAAAAAAGAAACATAATACCATGTAGTGAACTTTAGCTACTATGTCTACTGAAAGTTCTGACATTCAGAGTCAAAAATCAACATGTTTACTGTGTTTTTCAGATTCGGAAGGTGCAGATGACAAGGAAGAAGGGTAAAACAAACAAGCCATGAAAAAAAAAATTGGGTGGGGATTTGAGTTATAAACTGTTAGTTTGGTTTACTGTTGTACTCTATATACACTCTATTTTTTTTGGTATTGCTTGAAGCTACTAGGGTATTTGGCTCAGAGAAAACCAAAATAAACAGAAAAGAGGACTGCTGGTTAGGAATAAGAGAACAGGCATGGTAATAAATAAAGGCAATGCCTGGGGTAAAGGTTTATAATTATGGATTCGCATATACAACTGTATAAAAAAATATCCAGACACCATATATAATAAAGACAATACCTTTTGAAGCACATCATTAATAAATTATAAGCCTTACACTGGCAAACTTTTCCATCTGATAGTAAAATTAGAAATACTAAATCCTCAGACCTCATCAAATATTACTGCACATAAAGATGTTGCACTGAATTATACTGAAATTGTAGAGAATGCTGAACAGTCTCCAAATATTACTAGCATTAATCACATAAATATTACAAAATAAAATGACACACTGCAAACAGAGAAAACCATTTTCCTAAAAGGAATGAATTTTCTTTTAAGTTGATAGTTGGGTGTTATCATTGCTTTTTGTTGTGGTTGACTATAGAGTGCCATGAAAGCAGGGGTATATGAGAAGAACATGAGAAATTACTGTTGTAGCTAGTTCTAAATTCCATTCCCTCTCCCATCCCATCAGCCACTATACAAGAATGTTCAATAATAAAAATCAGGAAAGAGTGCTTCTTTTTTAACACTCAATGTATTTCTAAAATGTGCAAGTATGAAAGTGACAGCAGCAGGACTCTGTTTTTTGAGTTTTTATTCTAGCTTTTATATTATGTGTTTCTCAGAAAACTGAAACCATTCTTAAGTTATTGTAAAAGTCCTCATTTTTAAATTAACAAAATATGACTTTAAAAATATTTGAATATTTACTTGAGAAAATAGTCTACATGCCAATTCACACTGGTTTCTGAAGCAAAATTAATATAACCTGGATATATTTACAGTTATTTATTCTATTAACAAATATGTGGTTTTAAGGATATTAAGTCAATGTGTAAGAAGGTGTTGTCAAAGTTATTATTAATGAAATTCAAAATTTATAGTAAAAAAAAACAGATAAAGCATAGTAAATTTTTAAATTGCTAGACATTGAAGACTATGAATAACTGATTGTTAGATCACAAAGGAAAGAAAATGAGAAAGAAGAAAATAAAAACTATCAAACAAAATACTTACCAAAAATTACATTTTTACTTAACTTTGATATTTTATGTATCTATTGTTGTGAGCCATCCGTGGGCTCTGTGTGTGAGCTATGCACATTTGAGCATGTGAGGGAACTGGTCTGGCATTGCACATGGATTGGGCTGTCCAATGCAGGAGTGCCTTTCCTCTAGCTCTGCCTGTGATCCCACACAGCACTGGAGATGGGTGTGACTAGCCAAGATGTCAATCAATCTGCTGACCGCAAGACCTCACAAAACAAGACTCCACCTTCAAAACCCTATTCCCTGCCTTATTTAGTGAAAAACATTCTATCAAACCTCCCTTGTGTGTGTCCCCATCTATGAAATAAAAAGAATCTGGGTGCCTGCTCTGTCTTTCCAGCACTTCCCAGTGTGGAGCTGACCCTTGGAGTCGCAAAGTAGTCCCACCTTCTATCTTAGAAACCCAAGTTCGTGTGCTGCATGGTTTCTTCACTGTTTTCTTAGTTATTGATACAGCAAGCTCCTTTGAGCCCAGCTCATGTCGCCAGCCCAGCCAGCTAGCGACTATCTATCTATCTATCTATCTATCTATCTATCTATCTATCTATCTATCTATCTATCTATCTATCTTGTTATTCATTTATTTATTTATATTGAAAATTGAACCCAAGGGTGCTTTACTACTGAGTATATCTGTAGTCCTTTATTTTTATTTTATTTTATCTTTACTTTTCGGTACTGGGGATTGAACCCAAAGGTGCTTAAGCAAGGAGCCTCCTCAGTTTTTTTTTGGTTTTTTTTTTTTTTTTTTTTTTTT